TAACTGATAAGAAATTTTGGGGGGTTAACAGGACTCCTACAATATATAATAAAGCTATAATCGTTAAAACTGAAAACAAATCAATAAAACAAAATAGATAGTATATTAGTTTGCTAGAACTTCCATAGCAATGTACCACAGACAGGCTGAGTTGAACCACAGAAACTTATTTTTTCACACTTCTGGAGACTACAAGTCCAAGAGTGTGATGTTCACGGGGTTGGTTTCTTCTGAGGGCTTTCTTTCTCTGTCTTCACATGGTCTTCCCTCTGTACCTGTTTGTCTCCTAATCTCTTCTTCTTATAATGAAATCAGTCATATTGGATTAGGGCTAACCATATGACCTCATTTAGCCTTAATGAGCTCTTTAAATGTCCTATCTCTAAATACAGTCACATCTGAGTACTGGGAACGTAGGACTTCAACATATGAATTTGGGAGGAGGAAGCAGACACAATTCAGCCCATAACAGAGAGAGATTCTAATTTATTAAAACGTTGTACTAGTGTGAAATTCAGGGCTAGGTTACTAAGTTAATTAAAAAATAGTTTTCAGTTATCTATGAAAAAAAGGAGAAAACCATTTTCATTTATGAGACTTGTGGGAAATAGATTATTATGAAAACTGCACCAGACATTGAAATAGGAAAGTACCAAATGATCATTGTTTTAGTCTGCTCGGGCTGTCATAACAAAGTACCATAGACTGTGTGGTTTAAACAACAGAAATTTATTTTCTTATAGTTCTAGATCCTGGAAGTCCAAGATGAAGGTGCCGGCCGATTTGCTTTCTAGTGCAGACCCACTTCCTGCCTTGCAGATGACCACCTTCTCATTGTGTTCTCACATGACAGGCAGAACAAGCTGTGGTGCCTCTTCCTTTTTTTTATAAGGGCAGCAGCCCTATTGGATTATGGCCCCACCCTTATGATCTCATTTAACTTTTATCACTGTCTCACAGACCCCAACTCCAACTAAAGTCACGTGGGGTTAGGGTTTCAACATGAATTTTAGAGGGCCACAAACATTCCATAAAACTCATGAAGCTATCACTTTCTAATTACTGTCTTCCCCTTCCCACCATCAAGAAAGAACAACTTTAGCCTGCCTGCCCAAGTTTGGGAAAGGGCTTCTGGGCAGAGAACTGGAACCAAAGAGCCAATTACCAGTAATGTTTTATTGGAGGAATCTGTGTCACCACACAGAGCTTTAAAAGAGGGACTTCCCTGGCCATCCAGTGGTTGAGATTCTGTGCTTCCAATGCAGGGGGCATGGGTTTGATCCCTGGTCAGGGAACTAGGATTCCGCATGCTGCATGGCACTGCCAAAAGAAAGGAAGAAAACATGAGCTTCTTTTAAAGAGATGAATTATTCAATAAATTCCATTTGGAAAATTGGTATAATATTTAGAAAAATAATCCCTTTAGATCTTCACTGTATACTTAATTCTCAAAACTTCTGGGGGGACTTCCCTGGTGGTCCAGTGGCTAAGACTCTGTGCTCCTAATACAGGGGGCCCAGGTTCCATCCCTGGTCAGGGTACCAGAGCCCACATGCTGCAGCTAAGAGTTCTCATGCCGCAACTATGACCCGGGGCAGCCAAATAAATAAAAATTACTCTAAAATAAAATAAAACCTTCCAGATGGGTTTAATATTTAAACATTTAAAATTATTAAATATTTAAAATTTAAAGATTTAAATATTTAAAAATGAAACAAGAAAATATGAATGTATATTTGTTTATGGATAAAGAAGGCCTTTCTTAAAGAGCAATAAATCACTGAGGAAAACATGTTTAGGTTTGACTTCAGAGAAAATAGCTTCCCTTGATTTAAAGGAAAAAAGACCAATATGAGAAGTCAAACAGTAATCTGGGAAAGACATTGATAGCCAAAATGATAGACAAAAGATCTATATTTTCACCACATCTATGTCCTCTGCAATTCAGTTAGAAAACACTAAGTTCCCAGTAGGTAAATATGAGTAGGACATAGAGACAACTCATGAATATGGGAAAATATCCAACTTGTTTTTAAGTCAAAGAAATTTGTTGCCTATAAAAGAAGTAGAGTTTTTTTTATAAGTGAAATAGGAACTTTATACATTACTGATAGCAGTGTAGTACTACCCTTTGGTGAAACAATTTTGCAGTAAATTTCTTATGATGATAAAAATGATAATAACAACAAAAACAACTAACTTTTATAGCAATTTCTGTGTGCCCTGCACTGCTTTAAGCACTTCACATGTTTTAATTAATCCTGTCAATATCCTATAGGGTAGGAACTTTAATTATCCTTATTTTACAGTTGAGAAATTGAGGCACAGGAAATGTAACTGCTCAGGATCACAGAAATAAACTGGTGGAGGACTAGTGGCTTAAACCCACTAGTCCTACTTTGGGGATGTTTTTCCTCATGGGGTCTTCTGAAAATTTTCTGGGGGGAAACTGTACTCAAAGAGATAGTCTTTGCACCATGCCCCTTTTTGTACATGTTGGTATTTTTGTTCATGCAGTTCTTGCTGTTTGAATATTCTTTTTCACCCTCTCTGGCTTAGAACAGGTGTCATTCCCCCCAAGAAGCATTTTCTGTCCCTCTTCAGTCTTGACCTCCCCATTTCTGATTCCCTTCTGCCACCTTCCAGATTGGATATCTTTCTTTGTGTACAATTACAACCAATTACCAAAAATTTCTTAAATGTTCTGGCTGTATGTTTCTGTACTCCCCACCCCTCCCAACTTCTCCTACTGCTGATTGACGACAGGGATTGTGTCTATTTTATTTTTGAATCCCTAGTGCCTCGTACAGTGCCACATAGTAGGCTTTTTCCTTTCCTTGTTAACATTTTCTTATTTTACAAAGTCTTTTCAAGTTAACATAACTCCATCACTGTAATCATAAATATAGTGAACAACACAAACATGAATGTCCATGTAGGGTCAAGTTTCAGTCAGTTCAACTGTGTTCTTCTTAACAATTTAAAAATTATTATTTGGCGTTGTTTAGTTGGGCTTTGTTTGTTTTGTTTTTGTTAACATGCTCTCTCTCTTTGGGAAAAAAATGTCCATATCTGAAAGATAAGCCTCCACCAAATATTCTCTTGCTTTATGAACTTCCTCTTTTAAGGTCAATTTTGACCATGAAGCATATTTCTAGAATTTTTCAATTTTTGGTTTGATTTTACTTTTCACTATAGTGATTCTAGCCAAGATCCCTCTTTGAGACTGCAAAGCAATTTAATTTTTCCCTTCAAAGGTACAGTGCTTGTTTTTTGTTTGTTTTTGGAATTACTGCAAAAGCAGTGGTTTCATGGAGTTACTGCTCAGGGTATTTTTTCTCCCAAGAGACACAAATGTTTCTGCTAAATTTTTATCCTCACAATCTGTATTTTGATAATTAAGTACATCTTAGACCTTGATAGGTTGGCTGCTGTGGTGCTCAAGGTCAAGGATCATCTTTTTTAGGGTCACATTTATTGTAACCATCTAATGAGAGCACCACATCTCTTACCTGGTCTGGTTTTAGATGGCTCTGAACATTCCTTAGTATCAAGATTATTCCAGAAACTTGCTATTTTGAATTGCTAATCTTATTCCTAGTTGAAAGCATAATTTAAACATTGCATTTTAAAGACAGATGAAAAACTATTTTTCAAAAATTTTGTAAAAATTACAAACCTCAGTATGAAATCAGTACTTCTGGCTTATCACAGAACAAAGTGTGGCAGGGAAAGTCAAACTCAGTGTGGTCCTTTTTCAGAAAAAGAAAACAGTTGACAGCAGGAAGCTGACCCAATTTTGGGGGGGGGGCGGGCAATGCTGGTATGTGAAAAGAAAGCAAAAATTTTATCAATCTCCAGTTTTGTGGGTCTCCATCTGCTTGTTAAGTATTTGGATTAATGACTTTGGACTTCGGTTTGGAAGGGTGTTCCTGCCCCTCTCTTTGGTAGACCACATCTGATTAGAAATGAGAGTGAGGGCAGGGTTGTGTTAAGGTTGCGGAGGTTGGCAGTGGTGTGAGCTAGTAAGTCTTTCTGCTTAGACTCCTCCATCAGCCATTATGTAGCAGAAGTTGCCCCATATATGCAAAGAGCATTTAAAGTTTAGAAATGCCATTTTTTCTCTCTACAAAGTGTGACTTTCAAGACTAAAAAAAAAAAAAAATTAGCTTTGGGCCTTGGAGCCGAAAAGGAGATTTTAATTCTAGGCTGCATCCTCCTCCTCCTCCCAGAGCAAGAAGACAAATGTTTTGGGCTCAGTAGCCAAAGGGATTTAGTGAAAGAAAACTGCTTACGGATAAAAGAAGATACCTGAATAGGTAGCCAAAGGTAAACAGTGTTACCATAGCACAGCGGTTAAGAGGACACACTTTCAAGTCAGAACAAACTGGTTGAAACCCCAGTTCCCCATTTACTACTTTGTCATCTTAATACTGTTATTTGACATCTCTGAACCTTGTTTTCCTCATCTGTAAAATGGGTACGTTTTTGTAAATGAGGATTAAATTAGTTTATATATGTAAGGTATTGTGTGCTTTTAACACAGCAAACACATAATTGGTAGTTGTTGAACGGACTTCAGAATTCTTTGGCAAAGGAAAAAAATGAATATGACATTGGACGGGAGGCTAGTACTCCTTAGGCTGTAATATATGGATATTTCAAGTTCCAAGGAAAGAAACATGTTCCTGATATTTCCTCTAATAGAATTCCTTATAAGGATACACAAGGAACTAAAGACAAAAGCGGGTGGAGAGTAAGAAGACCAGGAATAACAATAGTGACAGTGAGGCCGGCTGGGTGGGAATAGGTGAGTCTGGTGTCTGCACAGATCCTGTGTAACGGAGAACACACGCTTAGACATGAGTTCCCTCCAGTGCATCTGTGTTACTAATAAAGTCCAGTATAGTAATGGAGTAGGACTGAGCTAATTAATGTTGCTTTAATGAATAAATGAGAGGTGGTGAGGTGATCTTGACCGTCCCCACCTCTTCACTCAGGTGGTGAATGGAAAACCCGTTATGAGACACAACTTGAATTGAATGACCAACTAGAAAAGCAGATTGTTTCTCTCAAAGAGAAAATGGAAAAAATCTGTGGAAATCCTGCTGGTACAGAAGCACCTATATATATGTTTTATAAGTTGAGTTAAAATTGATAAAACATCAGTTGCTCATATTTGCTTTATTGTAGACAGACTGTCTTCTATTCGTGTCTATGAATGGATGCCAGTGGTGAGTAAAAGATGTTTAAACAAAAGGAATAATTGAAGGAAATTATGTGTATTTTTCCCCAGACAGATTTCAAACAAAAGTTTAAAGACTGTGACAAGGTCCAAATAAAATATTTTGTTCAGGGCTTCCCTGGTGGCGCAGTGGTTGAGAGTCCGCCTGCTGATGCAGGGGACACGGGTTCGTGCCCTGGTCCGGGAAGATCCCACATGACGCGGAGCGGCTGGGCCCGTGAGCCATGGCCGCTGAGCCTGTGCGTCCGGAGCCTGTGCTCCGCAACAGGAGAGGCCACAACAGTGAGAGGCCAGCGTACCGCCAAAAAAAAAAAATTTTTTTGTTCAGTGGAGCTTTCCTGTGATGTAAAGAATCCTATAAACAAGGCCTTCAGCTTGGTCTCTCCCGTAAAAAGCTGGGCAGGGATTCTGTTGCAGGTACAAACAAAATGGAAGTGAAAGGATCTCGGTGGTCAGGCTGGGGGGAAACCTGAGTGTGTCTATTCCTTACAACCTGAAAGAGCCTGTTTAACTCAGAAATACCTCTCTCAGAGGGAGGGAGACGCAAGAGGGAAGAGATATGAACATATGTATATGTATAAGTGATTCACTTTGTTATAAAGCAGAAACTAACACACCATTGTAAAGCAATTATACTCCAATAAATACCTCTTTCATACCCGTCTAAAACAGTTCCATTCTAGTTCCTCTGGAATACACACACACACACACACACACAGAATATGTATAAAATCTAACAACTGAGAACCCATAAATTACCCTGTAACCTCACTGGGCTGCTTCACCTACTTTTTCTTTTGGTTGCCCTAGTGACATCTTTCTTCTTTTGAGAGGTAATTTTAATCTCCGTTAAATGAATTTATGTGTTCTACTTTACAAAGAGTATTCGTTTGTTTTTGATTCATTCAAATATTTGTTAATATTTTTTTTAATGTAGAGAAGGCCCAAAGCATGACTTATGTTGAACTCTTGCTGAATTTTTATTTCAAGAATACTCAGAAAAACATGGAAATCTTGTAAATAAATCAAGGGTACTTTGCATGAAAATGAAAATACAATACTCAGCTAAATTGGCAGGACTTAATATTACACTAATAATTATAATAACTTGTCCTAAATTAAACATATATAATATGCAAATTAACTTATGTACATTATTTCAGTCTTGTAACAAACCCCATGACATAAAATTTTATATTGTTATTTTAATACATGTGATTCTAAGCTTAAAGAGATTGATTTACTCAGTTTCACACAGTCTGGAAATGTGGAGTCAGAGACTCTCCCTCTTAAACCTCTGCCATTTAACTCTGCTATACCAACAGCCCTTTGATACTGCTGATCAGAAATAATGGGTTTCTTAGTAGCTGTGGGTAGAGCACTAAGCTGCCTGCTGTATTCACAGAAGTCCTGGGCATTTATGGAGAGTGCTCTTTGAATAACTGCAAACCTTTAGTGAAAGACAGAAAAATCTTATATTTTTCTTAATGAATTGAGGGAGAAATTAACTTTTTTGCAGACCTCTCTGTTATTTACAACCCAGAAATACCCTTATGTCTGTGTGTTGGAAAGTCAGGAAAATAACGTGTGTTTTTTTGTTGTTGGAAAAGTGGTGAAGTTTTTTCCTCTGCCATGGAGTCATATCTCCATCTTGTGGTATTTAGAAATTGCTGCAAGGGCTTTTTTAAGCTTAGTGTTTCTTAACTGTAGGTAGAATTTTATTACTACCTACAGAATATAAAATATCAAGTTCTACCTACAGAATATAATATATTCTGGCTTCCTGCTTCTTGACAACCTACCCCCAGTCATAGCTCAAGAAACGGGGTGTCTAGCCTCCTGGAGGGTAGCAGCAAGCGCTGGTGTGACATGGGAGAAGACTCCATAGCAAATCTAAGAAGCATTTAATCAGTTTTCTCTTTGCTACCTCACACTCTGTAATTTATTCATGTTCACAAAAATATACTTGTTTCCCTTGATGAATTTGTGTTATTCTTGAAGAAAATGTCTTTCTCTAAGAGGTTTAGATCTGGAGGCAGAGAATTACATTTCTCTTCAGTAAAGAACAAAAGAAATGTTAGAAGAACCAAGAGTGGGGCCACATACTAAGCAGAAAGGAGAGAGAATGAAAGTTCAGGCTCTTAAGGAGCTAGTCCTCTCTATTGTCTGGGCAGATGCCCTGAGTACCTAGGTTTTCTTAAACAGTGGAATCGAAGGGGTGTTTGTCTGAAGAGCAGGGATTAGGAATCTAACCAGGAAGTTGGTGATGTAAGTAGCCAACTACTGAGCAAAAAGCATTGGGGATTCAAAAATCCTATATCCAGTATAGGAAAGAAATCTCTCTTCCGAGGACAAAAGCAATAGTCTTATTCTTTATATCAGAAACAATATTTGTGAGATTCAGACATGTACCATTTGTGTAATACAAACATTTTTGGTTTTCTGTTAGGTTGATAATCAGAGAAAAGGGCCTAAATTAGTTGTTTTGTGGGACAGAGTATGACTTCAAACGCTATTTGTAAATTTACTGACTCTCTATCCTTGTTGTAGGTTGCTTAGTCTTTAGGAGTAACCTGAACCCGCATACTTAAGAAACTGCTGTCAGTTGGTTTGAATACTGATTTTGAGTAACTTCAAAGTGCAGCTTTGCTTATGAGCAACAGAAGGATGAACACTGGTTTTTGACCTGTGCATGTCTAATTTCTTTAAATGATATCATTAGAAAAAGAAATACGAAACATCCAATAGTTATTTTCAACCTGGACCACTAAAGTGGACTTGATTTTAATATTTTAGAAAAAAGTATTTACTTAAGTGAGAGTGGGGTTCTAGCCCTTGTTCAGATACAGATGGGCTTCAAGCCTGCAACCTTTCTGAAGATTACTTTTCTCATCTGAAGGCAGTATGATTAGATAAACTTTAAAGTGCCTTACAGTGGTATAATTTGTTAAACTTTAATTTTAGCAAGATGTCTCAGTTAAGCGTTATGTTTGGCTGCATATAGGAGAAAGGCTTAAACAAGTAAGGTATTTTGGAGCTTTTCCTCATGTAACAGGAAAGGTGGAAGGTATGCAGACAGGGTTGGTGCAGTGGCTCTATAATGCCTTCAGGAATCCAGACTCCTCCTGACTTTCCACTCTGCCATCCTTTAATGAGTGGCTTTGGCCCCATGCTCACAAGATGGCTTCTCACTTGCTTCACAGTCTCATTCAAGGAAAGAAGTAGGATAAGGGAAAAAGGAAAGGTGAAAGCTAGTCAAGTCAGCTTCCTCTTAACGAGCTGCACCCAGCAGTTTCCCTGTACATCTCATTGGTTAGAACTTTATCACCTGGCCACCCATGTTTGCAAGGAAGGCTGAGATCTGTTGTGTTTTAACTAAGCATAGTAGGACGAAGGGGAAGATGGACATTGGATGTGCAGTCAGTTCCATCTGCCACGCACAAGCTCTATCACCACATTTCATTTTAAGGTAATATGTATTTATTTAATATTATTTGGAAAATAAAAGAGAAGAAAAGTATTAAGTTAAACACATCTACTGTTGTCTTCTTAGTAATTTTTGGTATGTATATATATTGATTAAAAGGAACAACTCAATAGATAAGACAACCAAAAGGGGAAAAAAGGAATAAAAAAAAGGACTTCACTTTAAAAAAAAAAATGTAATTGTAACCTTACTTCATGGACAATTTTGTATTCTATTGCTATGTTCACCATGGACAATTCAATCAATTATTTCTTATGTTTTCTTCATGTACATTTTTAAGGGCTACATTATATTCCATTGCATTGGATTATTAATATTCAGTTACTTTCCCCTATAGTTCAATAGTTTAGGGTATTTCTGGTTTCAATTTTAAATACAACAAAACCCACAGAGGACAATATGGCAAAAAATATATTGTAGTATTTGCAAATCTTTGGATTTTTGTCACTTTTTGACCTCAGCTTTTTTAATGAAAATACTTTATAGAGTCGAGGCAAGATGATCTTGGATTTAATATATGCCATTCCAGTTTATTTTTAAATACCTTTCTAGGGCTTCCCTGGTGGCACAGTGGTTGAGAGTCCGCCTGCTGATGTAGGGGACATGGGTTCGTGCCCCAGTCTAGGAAGATCCCACATGCCGCGGAGCGGCTGGTCCCGTGAGCCGTGGCCCCTGAGCCTGCGTGTCTGGAGCCTGTGCTCCACAACGGGAGAGGCCAAAACAGTGACAGGCCCGTGTACCTCCCCCCAAAAATAAATAATAAAAATAAAATAAAATGCCTTTCTACATATATTGTGTCTAAACATTCATATAAAAAAATATCATGCTGTATGTGGCATTCTTCTATTTTTTTAAAATTCTATCCATGTTAATACATAAAGATCTAGTAAATTTTATCTGCTGTATAGTATTCCATTAGATGTATATATCCTAATTTATGTATTCCTCTATTTCAGTACATTGAAGACTTTTCAAAATCTCACTATGACAAACATTGCCAAGGTGAACATCCTTATAAATGTCTCTGAGTACAGAGTGTTCCTCTGGACTTTGCTAACTTTTCTGCAAAGGCTAGAGAGTAAATATTTTCAGCTTTATAGGTTGCCCCATCTCCCTTGCAACTACACATTTCCACTGCTGTGTTCTAACACATCTTCCTTTACAAAAACAGGCCACAGCCAGATTTGGTGTCCAGGCTGTAATTTGCTGGCCCTTGCTTTAGGGCAGTGGTCCTCAAACTTCCATAGTAACAGAATCACCTGGAGAACTTCATAAAAATATAAAGATCAGCCCCATTCTTTATCCAGCTTGCTACCTCTGCAGTCTTCATTAGTTCTCCAGCTAACTCGAATACACCCCAAAGTTTGAGAACCGCTGCTCTAGCACACTTATAGCAGAGTTTTTAGATCATGAGATATGCACATATTCAAATTTTCAAATAAAGATAACGTCCCTCTGGATCGATCTATCTAAAGACACCCCAGGTCTACAGTTAGTATGTC